GCGAATACATTTCTCCGTCAACCTCACATGGTTGCAGTTATGTCTAGTTTAATGAAAAGAAGGACCAGGGGAGACATGATAGCAGTCTTCCAATATCTCAGGGGTTGCCACAAAGGAGAGGGAGTCAAACTAGTCTCCAAGGCACCTGAGGGCAGAGCAAGAAGCAATGGGTGGAAACTAATCAAGGAGAGAAGCAACTTAGAACTGAGAGACATTTCCTGACAGTTAGAATAATTAATCAGTGGAACAGAAATTGCCTCCAGAAGTTGTGAATGCCCCAACACTGGAAGTCTTTAAGGAGATGTTGGATAGCCATTTGTCTGAAGTGGTGCAGGGTTCCCTGCCTAGGCAGGGGGTTGGATTATAAGACCTCCAAGGTCCCTTCCAACTTCCATTATTCTGTTATTCAATTTGCCAATTTTAAAAATGATGGACTTCAATTCCCAGAATCCCCCAGCCAGTTAAATTGTCTGGGGAGTTCTGGGCGGTAATTCTAATCATCTCGACACGGTTGAGGAACAGTGCAGTTCTGCTTTGCTGTTAGGAGCCAGGTATTCCATCCTCAAATTTGCCAAATTAAATAGGTTGTTGACTGCTGGAGTCACATAGCCTGTTAAAATATAAATGTGGATTAAGAAAATACATGATTTAGCATATTATCCAGGAAACCTGAGGGGAAAGACTAATCCACAATTCTGCCGTTGCCCTGATCTTAGGCAACCCTTTGTGCCTGGCACACTAGCAGCCTTTGCTTAATCTGGTTTGCCTCTTCCAAACACTGTGAAACGCTGATCTTTTGCTAAATCAAAAGAGAAAAAAAATAGAGAATAGTTTGTTTGGTGTTAAGAATGGAGGATTAAATGCAGCGTTACTGTTACATGGGAGTGTTTGTGAGCTCTTTCGGCTTCTTCTCTGGGTGTAATTGGTAGTTTATACAAAAAAAATCAGTTTGTAGTTTTCTTACATCCTTTCTTCCTTCCCTCTTCTCTTTCTCTGTCCCTCCTTTCTCTCTCCTTTGTTCCTCCTTTCCTTTTTCTTTCTCTTCCTCCCTCCCTCCCTCTTCCCTTTCTTCCTTCCTCTTTTTCTTTCTGTCTCCTTCCTTCATTCCCTTCTTCCTCCTNCAGAAAATACGACTTCAGCAACAGAGTGGTCAATGCCTGGAATGCTCTACCTGACTCTGTTGTTACATCCTCAAACCCCCGTAATTTT